TATGATTTTCAGGATTACCAGCTCCATAGAAGTGTTCTCTCAATGAGGTGAGATAGTCTTCTCGCCAAATTTTCTCCCAACGTTCAATCACTTTATTAAGATGTTTGAATTTACGTCTGAGTTGCTCAGGTTCGAAATAAGTAGGATCCTCAATGATTTCTTTATCATTCATGGGAAGAACAGGTTCGAACCTTCTGCCATGGAGTAACTGAGATGGACTTAACACTTCTAAATAGTCCAGATCATCGGTAACATAAGTTAGAGGTCTGTTGTTGACTCTGTTTTCTATTTCAGTCATGACTGTACGGATGAAGAGTCTTCCTTAAACAACGTTTTACAATGCCGATCATTCTTTCATAAAATCCGCCGTGCCATGGAGATTTAGGAGGAATGTATCTCCAACGACAACTGCGTTGATTCAGCATCTGATGTACTTCTGGTTGATCAAAGATCTTGCTTATATAAGCAGCACCAGCAACAAAGTTTATTGCATTATCTGAAATCATCAGTCTGGGACATGCCCTTCTGGCTGCAAACCTTCTGAATAATTTGATAAAGGTTTCAGCAGACATGTCAGTGGCTACTTTTAGATGTACTGCTCTTGTCGTAGCACAAGTGAACAAACAGATGTACACCTTGATGGGAACTTTGTCAACTGTTTTGGTTAAATTATTGGTCCAGTGTAATCTACACCTGTCACCTCAAATGGAGTGATATGACAAACTCTTTCAGAGGGATATGGAGGTGGACTTGGATACTGACATACTCACATACCATAGTGACAAGTAATACAGTCCTTTATTTGTTTTTTCACACTTTGTCGGCCTTGAGGTATCCAGTAGGATTGTGTATATGAAAAAGTGTGTCAGCTACCCCACATGTAAACGTTACTGTGGGCATTTTGAACAATCAGGTTTGTTAGCCAATGATTTTGGGGATCAATATTGGATGTATGGCTTCTTTAGGTAGTGAAGAATTATGAATTTTTCCCTCGACATCTTAAAATTTCTTTTCTGAGTCGAGATAGTCCTAAAAAATTTAAATTTCATGACAGGTTTCTTTGGGGATTTATCTTGTGTTTCTAGAAATTTATATTCTGTAGAGAAAACATCTTTCTGTATTAGTTTCACCCAGTATTTAATGGGTTCAGGACATTCATAATCAGGTTTTATTCCTTTAATGAATTTAAAGACAAGAGCTGTAACTTAAGAGTTTACCCAAAGATGGTATTTAGATCCATCAATGACTATTTCTGTTGTGTCTGCAGTATTTACACAACTTATTTCTGCTGTGTTCAAGCAGACTGTTTCTTCTCTGGCATAATGTGAGCTTTTTGTTGAGGCCAGTTATTTTCATTAGAGAGCCAGTTCGGTCCGTGGAGCCATAATTTATTATCCACAAATTTCTTGAGTGGGACACCACGTGACAACATGTCAGCTGGATTCTCTTGGGTAGAGATGTGGAGAAAGAGATAATCTCTCTGCATCTCTTTTATTTCTGCTACTCTATTCTGTACATAGATCAACTTACTCTTATTATTTCTTAACCACTGGAGAATTGTTTCATTATCACTCCAGATCATGTTTTTTTCAGTGGTGAGATGATCAAGTACTTTGTTGAGACAGCTAATTTTGTGCCTACATAGAGTGCTGTCAGTTCCAGTTGTGGTACTGTTCTGACCTTCAAGGGTGCTACCCTGGCCTTTGAAGTAATTAGTGTACTTCCTTCAGCATTACTCATGTAAGCTACAGCGCCATAACCTCTGGTTGATGCATCACAGAACACATGTAACGTGTACTTGTTTCCCTCTTGACCTATTTGTCTGGGAAATGTAATTTGATGAAGTTGTATAAACTCCTTGGATATTTCATCCCATGCTTGACTCATTTCTAGAGGTAATTTCTCATCCCATCCAATTTTGAGCTTCTATGCATTTTGCATAAGTATTTTACCTTTTATGGTAATTGATGAGACGAATCCTAGAGGATCAAGACATTGTGAAATCTCTGACAGTAAACTACGTTTAGTGAGTGTACTGCATGATTTATTGTTTATCCTTTTGAGACTCAAAGTATCTTCCTGTGTGTTCCAGTTAAGTCCCAGCATATTGTTGCAATCAGGAATTTCAGCTTCAGGGAAATCTTCTTGGATAAGTTCCCTTAATTGCTGTGAATTAGTATTCCACATCCTTAGAGGCATATTTGCTTCTTTCATCTCCTTGTTAGCTTCTCTGTATAAAGATTTCAAATCCTCCTGTTTATTCACAGTACATTGAAGATTGTCCACATAGAAACTTTTCTTTAAGATTTTTTGAAGGGACTTTCCGATTTCTTTTAAATGTGTATTTTTGAGTAGCTTCTGTAAAAAAATGGAGAGATGTTGCACTAAATAATACTGATTTGAAACGACAAGTTTTCACAGGACTTTGAGGATCATGTGGATTTTCAGGCCACAAGAATCGAGTATAATCTCCATTTATTTCTTGTAGTCCTACTTTTAAGAAAGCTTTGGAAATATTAGCCGTGTAGGCATATGGGTTTGTGCAAAATTTCATAAGCACATCTCCAAGCTTCTCAGTTAGTGAGGGTCCGGTCATCAGACAGTCATTAAGACTTGCTACATCTTTATTTGCACGTGCGCTGCAGTTGTATACAACATGTAGTGGCGTAGTTTCAGAATCTTTTCTGACTCCGTGGTGCGGGAGATAATGAGCTTCTGTCTTCAACTTATCTTTGACTACTTCCTCAATGAATTTATTGTCCAACTGTTCTTGTAACTAAACTATTTGCAACATCGGATTCTTGCAAGGAGCAGCGGTCGCTTGACCACGTCACATACTCGTGCTGCATCTGGGATCACTTACTTGCTGTAGCAGTAAACAAGATGCTTGCCCCTTATGAGAGGGCTGGACCCCTCAGGGCTGAAGGGGGCTAATAACACCCTCCTGGAGAAAATTTCTCCACAACCCATTCTATACTGTTTTTCATATTTGTGCTTTGTGTTAATGGATCTGAGGATGCTGGGTGTTAGCCAGGGACTATTCAGTCTCTGCTGTGATCTGTTCAGTTTTTTGGGGGCAATGTTTGTTGTAGAGGTAATGGGCTTTTTTTAGAAAATTATTTATACATTCATTCATATCTGTATATATTTCAAGCTCATTTTGCCAGTCGATGTTATTCATAGCTGCTATAAAGTTGTTAACAGCTGTCTCGTTATGTAGTCTGAAGGTAACTTTAGTAATGTCTTGGGGCAATTTACCTAGATTAGTTATGAAAAAGGTTGGGTAGTGGTCTGTAGTGTTGTCTGTGATTATGCCTGATTTTAAAGGGGATATAGTGTTTGTCCAGATGTGGACTATTAACCCTTTAACGGTCCAAACGTATATATTCATTTTTTCAACATCTGAAAGTATGTAAAAAAATGTAGATCTTTTTTGTTTTACATTTGAAAACGTGTAAAAACACTTTTATCTACATTTGTTTTTTGTTATATTTGAAAATACGTATAAAAAGTAGATCTGCTTTTGTAGCAATACGAATTTGAACATTGATCTGTTTGGACCATTTAAGGGTTGAGATACTAGTCTCGGTGATTCTTGTAGGTTTAGATATTGTGGGTAGCAACAGGCAGTTGCTCATAGTGTTTGTGAATTCGGTTACTTGTGGCTCCTGGTCGTGTAGTAAGTTTATGTTGACCTCTCCTGTTAGAAGCAGGTGGTCTTTATTCATGTGTGCATCAGTAATCATGTTTCCTAGTTTTTCACTAAAGTGATAAATGTTTGACTGTGGTACTCTGTAGATGTTTATAACTGTGAGGGGTTTTTGCAGGTCTTTTGATTTAAATTTGGCTATGATATATTCACCATGTTCACATAACTTATGTGGCCTGTGAGACCAAAGTAAGGTGCAATGTACATATATACACTCGTATGTAACACAGTAATCGCACTAGCATTAGTATCATTATATTGTTTACAAAACTTGTTTACACAAATGAACAATATAAAAAATTGTTTATTACTATTGTTCTATATGTACAAATGTACAATTACTGGACACTTATCTAGAACTGCTGCAGCTTGTGGAATTCTTTGAAACATGGGTGTATGCTCAGGGGTAATTTACACTCTTCACACATAAAACGAGTGTCTGTGTTTTTGTGGGCATTTTGTGGTATGTGCACAGACATAACACCTCTTCTGAGCAGGCCTCAGACAAGAGGGCACATGTTGATAATTTCATGGGCGCTGGTCTATTGCAAGTGTTGTTCCTTGGTACTTGAATATTATTTGTGTGATGACTGACAAACAAAATTCACCATGTTTGTATTTGTTGGTCTTCAACTTATACATATTATAAGCATTCAGTACTGGATCATTATAAAGTTGTGGACAGAACAAATCATCATTCATTTTCATTTCTAATTTGAGTCTTAGCTGTAAATTGCTCCAGCCACAGTAGTACTGTGACTTTTATTCTCTCTAAATTCTATTTCAAGAGCTTCTTAACACTTAATAGGGATTTTAAGTATCTGGAGAAGATTCTTCATGCACTTAACCATTTATGGATAGGGATTTTCCAGAATAGATAAAGCATTTAAAACTATGGATAGACAAAAATATTAGAAGACAGTGGTAAATTTTTCATAAATGAACTATCACTTTATATTAAGAGTCATTACTTTTCCAAGTTTTTAACTTGGCAGATATATTGATCCGTTCCACAAGTATGCATGTACACTGTATGTGTCTTTTTTTTGCCCATAATAACTAGTGAAAACTTTATCCAGTTGTTTACACAGTACCTGGATTAAGGACTCCAAACCAGTTCTGTAAGTTTTAAATGCAATAGGTCTATGCATGAGGTCACTGTCATGTACAAGATCAAAAGATTACCACATGCGTAGGTCTGTAGTTATTTTATTTCTATATTGTATATGTTTATATAATCATGGTCTATGAACTTTAAGCTTACCTTTGTTCATTCAACTCTTTTCGACAGTGCTCAGCTGACCAGGTGTTGGCTGTGGACTTTTCTCCTGTTGACCGCAGCACTATTATCACTTGTGGAAAGAACCACATTTCCTTTTGGAGTTATGATAGTGGTATGCTGGCCAAACGTCTGGGGATCTTTGAGAACCGTGAGCGTCCCAAATATGTTACTTCCATATCCTTCACAGATGCTGGCAATGTCATTTCTGGTGACTCAAATGGGAATCTTCTGATTTGGCAAAGAGGTTGGATACATGTTAACTATTTCTTATTATGTTTTATATTTTTTGTCTTTACACTCAGTTCATGTTAATCTTACATTATCATTTATAAGTAGAGCATCTAAACATGTTATAAGATATTTTAAAATCATTTATAAGCATTAATTTTTAGAAGATTAAAATAAGCACTTGCTCTGCTTTTCTATATTACCTGTGTTTATTTGTTTACTTCCTTAATAGTAAGGTGTATATAGATTGTGTGAGATGGAATCAAAGGTCCACATATGTAAGGTATGGGGAATAAGTTCAGTGATAGCATGAAATTGAATTATCCAGGTTTGAAGATCATATTATTATATAACTGCCTGGAGAACTGATTTTCTGTTTTTGTGACTACTCTGCTGAAGCGAAATTATCAGTGACAATTAAGCATTAGCTATATAGATTGGAGAAATTATTTTTAGTATGGTAACATTTCTTTATGAATTTTATTGTTTCATCATACAGGTGGCAATACAGTTTACAAGATGGTACGTGGGGCCCATGATGGACCAGTGTTTTCCATCTTGGTACAGAAGGATGGAGCCATTATCACAGGAGGAAAGGATGGCCAAATTGTAGAGTGGGATAGGGACCTGGAGCGCACAGGCAATACGATTGAGGTAAGTTTTAGTCAAGTTCATAAAGAAACTAGATAATGGCTTTTATTTCGGGTGTACAATTGGGCATGGAGGTATGACACCTTTTAGGAAAGAGGAGAAGCCAGATATGACTGGAGAGGAGGTGCATGAGGCAGTGGGTAGAATGAAAGGGAGTAAAACAGCTGGGATAGATGGGATTAAAACATTAATGTTAAAAGCAGGTGGAAATATAGTTTTGGAGTGGATGGTATATTTGTTCAGTATATCAGGGTGGGGGGAAGGTACCTTGGGATTTGCAGAGAGCATGCATAGTTCCTTTGTATAAGGATAAATGGGACAAATGAGAGGAAAAGATATATGTATTGAATAAACCTTTTGAGTATACTGGGTAAAGTGTATGATAGTTATTATTGGAAAAATACAGATAAGACAGTGAGTAGGTTTACAGAGGAACAAGGAAGCTTTAGGATGGGTAGAGGATATGTAGACTAAGTGTTTGCATTGAAACACATATGTGAAAAACAATACCTTGATAAAGGTAAGGAATTTTTCATTGCATTTATGGATTTAGAAAAGGCATATGATAAGGTAAATAGGGGAACAGTGTGGCAGATGTTAGAAATGTGTAAAGTGGGTGGTAGGTTTCTTAAAGCAATAACGAGCTTTTATGTGGATAACGAGACTTAAAGGAATTATTTTCCAGTAAAAGTAGGCTTTAGACAGTGATGTGTGATGTCACCATGGTTGTTGAACATAGAGTGGACCCCCGAGTTTCGTGATTAATCCGTTCCAGAGAGCCCGCCGAAGGTCGAAATTCACGAAACTTGAAGCCATTTTCCCCATAAGAAATAATGGAAATAAAATTAATCCGTTCCAGACACCCAAAAATATTAAAATAATTTTTTTTTTTCAAATTAAATAAAGATTTACACAATGAAAACAATCAGAAATCAAGTACATGCATTTAAAATAAATAATAATAACATTACACTTACCTTTACTGAAGACTTCTGGGTGGATGGAAGATGGGAGGAGGTGATAGGAGGAAGGTGTACACTATTGTTTGGAAGGAGAATCTCCTTCCATTAGGACTTTAGGTAGCAAGTCCTTATCTGGGGTTACTTCCCTTCTTCTTTTAATGCCACTGGGAACAACTTGAGAGTCACTGGACCCCTGGCGTACAAAATATCTATCCAGAGAGGTCTTTTTCTGGCGTTTCTTTAAGATTTCCCTGAAGTGGGACACAACACTGTCATTGTACATGTTGCAGATACGGCTTGTTTCAGCTTGGTCAGGGTGATACTTTTCAACAAAACTTTGCAACTCATTCCACATTCCACACATGTCCTTAATCACTGAAGAAGGCACCTCATCCACTCCCTCTTCTGCCTCCTCTGAAACAAGTTCCTCGGCTGTGGTCTGATGCTGTTCCAGTTGAAGCTTTTGCAGTTCGTCAGTGGTTAGCTCTTCCCTGTGGTCCTCCACCAACTCTTCCACATCCCCGTCACTCACTTTATTTACCAAAGGGCTTGCACTAGCTTTCCTTGGGTCCATGATAACTTATTTAGCAGTTGAAAGCACAAAAAACAATGGATTATTGTGAAATGTATTGTATGAACCCGTGGAGTGATGATCATGTGTTGGTAAACAATGGCACACTGAGCGTGAACGGCGTGGGAGACTGGCTTTGTGTGTGCGGTGACGGGCGGACAGGTACCGGACAGTCACCGAAACACGAGTTTTTTCACAAAACTCGAGGCCAAATTTTTCCCAAAAAACTCGCCGAAGGTCGAATTTCGCAAAAGTCAAGGCTGCCGAAACTCGGGGGTCCACTGTATTTATGAATGGGAATCTAAAACAGGTGAATGCTAGTGTTGGGAATTGGTATGGGATTGAAAGATAGTGAATCTGTTAGTTAAGAAAACACAAGTGCAATTAATGTGACATTTTATTGTGGTAATATTTCGCTCTCCAGGAGCTTTGTCTAGCTGTTACAAACAATGCAGTGACACAGAGGGTATGTATAGGCTTAGAATGAGGTGTAAGGCACAATATAAACATTATAGAAGTACAATAGGACTCCACTTTACGGTGTTCCGCTAATACGGACACTTCAAATTATGACCAAAACTCACTATACAGCTTCCCCAACTGGCTTTCTAATACGGTCACAGCACCCCACCTGGTTTGTTTACATTCTCCATGAGCACCGCGTCTCTCCATTTTGTCTGGAAACTTTCCAAAATTTCAAGTGTTTTTAAGTTATTTCGTATTTTATATGTACAATGGTACCTCGGGATACAAACAGCTCAAAACTTGAATAATTATGTAAGTGTATTTATGTAAGTGCTTTTGTAAGTGTATTTTTGGGGGTCTGAAACAAATTAATTTACATTATTCCTTATGGGAACAAATTCGTTCGATATCGTCACTCGAACAACCTTCTGGAACGAATTAAGTTCATATCCTGAGGTACCACTGTACTCTGGTAATTATACTTATGTATATCTGTTGGTAGACAGCAACCACCCAGGGAAGTACTACCGTCCTGCCAGATGACTGTGAAACAAAAACCTGTAACTGTTTTGCATGATGGTAGGATTGCTGGTTTCTTTTTCTGTCTCATAAACACGCTAAGATAACAGGGATATCTTGCTACTCCTACTTACACTTTGGTCACACTTCACAGACACGCACATGCATATATATATATACATACATCTAGGTTTTTCTCCTTTTTCTAAATAGCTCTTGTTCTTTTATTTCTTTTATTGCCATGGGGAAGTGGAAAAGAATCTTTCCTCCGTAAGCCTGCGTGTCGTATGAGGCGACTAAAATTTCCGGGAGTAATGGGCTAGTAACCCCTTCTCCTGTATACAATTACTAAAAAGAGAAGAAGAAAAACTTTATAAAAAATGGGTTGCTTAAATTGGCGTGGATGTAGTGCGGATGACAGAAACAGATGATTGCTGATGTTATGAATGAAAAGAAGTTGGATGTCCTGGCCTAAGCGAAACAAAGCTGAAGGGGGTAGGGGGAGTTTCAGTGGGGGGGAAAAAATGGGATTAAATCTGGAGTATCTGAGAGGGGTTAGAGCAAAGGAAGGGTAGCAGTAATGTTAAATGATCAGTTATGGAAGGAGAAAAGAGAATATGAATGTGTAAATTCAAGAATTATGTGGATTTTAAAATAAAGGTTGGATGCGAGAAGTGGGTCATAATAAGCGTGTATGCACCTGGAGAGAGAGGAATGCAGAGGAGAGAGAGAGATTTTGGGAGATGTTAAGTGAATGTATAGGAGCCTTTGAACCCAAAGTGAGAGAGTAATTGTGGTAGGGGACTTGAAGCTAAGTAGGAGAAAACTTTTAGAGAGGGGTGTGGTAGGTAAGTTTGGGGTGCCAGGTGTAAATGATAATGGGAGCCCTTTGATTGAACTTTGTATAGAAAGGGGTTTAGTTATAGGTAATACATATTTTAAGAAAAAAGAGGATAAATAAGTATACACGATATGATGTAGGGCGAAAATGACAGTAGTTTGTTGGATTATGTATTGGTAGATAAAAGACTGTTGAGTAGACTTCAGGAGTACATGTTTATAGAGGGGCCACAGATATATCAGATCACTTTTTAGTTGTAGCTACACTGAGAGTAAAAGGTAGATGGGATACAAGGGAATAGAAGCATCAGGGAAAGAGAGGTGAAGGTTTTATAAACTAAAAGAGGAGGCAGTTAGGGTAAGATATAAACCTATTGGAGGTAGATGGGCTAATGAGAGCATAGGGAATGGGGTCGAAGAGGTATGGGGTAGGTTTAAAAATGTAGTGTTAGAGTGTTCAGCAGAAGTTTGTTTGGTTTCAGGAAAGTGGGTGCAGGGGGAAGAGGAGCGATTGGTGGAATGATGTGTAAAAAGGGGTAGTAAGGGAGAAAAAATTAGCATATGAGAAGTTTTTACAAAGTAGAAGTGATGCAAGGAGGAAGAGTATATGGAGAAAAAGAGAGAAGTTAAGGGAGTGGTGAGAAGCAATGTAAAAAGAGAGCAAATGAGAGAGTGGGTGAGATGTTATCAACAAATTTTGTTGAAATAAGAAAAGTTTTGGAGTGAGATTAACAAGTTAAGAAAGCCTAGAGAACAAATGGATTTGTCAGTTAAAAATAGGAGAGGAGAGTTATTAATGGAGAGTTAGAGGTATTGGGGAAAATGGAAGGAATATTTTGAGGAATTGTTAAATGTTGATGAAGATAGAGAAGCTGTGATTTCGTGTATAGGGCAAGGAGGAATAACATCTTGTAGGAGTGAGGAAGAGCCAGTTGTGAGTGTGGGGGAAGTTCGTGAGGCAGTAGGTAAAATGAAAGGGGGTAAGGGAGCCGGGATTGATGGGATAAAAATAGAAATGTTAAAAGCAGGTGGGGATTTAGTTTTGGAGTGGTTGGTGCAATTATTTAATAAATGTATGGAAGAGGGTAAGGTACCTAGGGATTGGCAGAGAGCATGCATAGTTCCTTTGTATAAAGGCAAAGGGGATAAAAGAGAGTGCAAAAATTATAGGGGGATAAGTCAAAGAGGGGAATGTATGAGAGTATAGTTTTACCAACGCTCTTATATGGGTGTGAAGCGTGGGTGATGAATGTTGCGCGAGGAGAAAAGGGTGGAGGCAGTGGAGATGTCATGTCTGAGGGCAATGTGTGGTGTGAATATAATGCAGAGAATTCGTAGTTTGGAAGTTAGGAGGAGGTGCGGGATTACCAAAACTGTTGTCCAGAGGGCTGAGGAAGGGTTGTTGAGGTGGTTCGGACATGTAGAGAGAATGGAGCGAAACAGAATGACTTCAAGAGTGTATCAGTCTGTAGTGGAAGGAAGGCGGGGTAGGGGGCGGCCTAGGAAGGGTTGGGGGGAGGGGTTTAAAAGGGGGTTTGTGTGCGAGGGGCTTGGACTTCCAGCAGGCATGCGTGAGCGTGTTTGATAGGAGTGAATGGAGACAAATGGTTTTTAATACTTGACGTGCTGTTGGAGTGTGAGCAAGT